CGGCTGTAGACAAGGATGGTACGGACCACATATGGGGGTGGGATCGTCTGCACATTCTCCGTGACTGGCAGCTCCGTCTTCTGTTGACTGCACAGTAAGGGGACAGATGAGAACAACTCTGGGGGTCCCTCCCTTCATCACCTTTGGAGAGCCAGCTCCTTGCTGGGCATGCAGAGCCCCACCTGTCCCCTCCCCAGTTGACTGCTGGCTCTGAGCCTTCCCACATGCTGTTCTCTCTGCCCAGAGCACCTCCCAGCCTTACCCTCTGCCTGACCTCTTCTGTTTTGCTAAACCCAAAGCTGAAGCCTGCTCCGCCCACCCTGAGTGTCCCCCATCACATGGAGTTGGCCCTGCCCCACCAGGCCAGGAACTCTTAGGAAGGGACTTAATCTTTTATCTAAATCAAGACACATTTCCCTACTTGGCCACATCTGGATCTCACGGGCAGAGGGCACTAGGCAGAGGGCAAGGTCCTTCCTATGTAAAAAGCAAATCTGGTCCTTCACAAGAAAAAAGCCAACTTCCTCATAGAAAAACCGGTAAAGGGGACAAAAAGACAAATCACTACAGGAATGCCAAACGGCTTTAAAATGAATGAAGAAAAGGCTCAGAGAAAAGCACTATCACACAAGCAGAGCTTTCAGCAGCATGATCAGTCCTGGTGCCAGGGGAAATAAACGGTTAATTTCTGAGGCAGTACTTTGGCAATGTCTAGCAAAATAATCCCCCCCCTTAATCAAGTATGTCCTCTACTGTGAATTTACCTCATGGGTTCACTTGCAAAATTTGCTGAGATGTTTGTACCAAGTTAATTAAAGGCAACACAAGCTCTGTGCCCAGCATCAGGGGCTGGTGAAAATGGAGATTAGAATAGTAGGGCCCACAAACTAAGAATGGATTCATATTTTTAAATACCTGGAGGGGGGAAAATCAAATGAATATTTCATGACATGTGGAAATGACATGAAATTCAGTGCTTATCAATAAAATTTATTGACACACTAGAGGCCGTGCACCGGTGGGGTCCCTCGGCCTGGCCTGCGGGGATCGGGCCGAAACTGGCTCTCCGACATCCCCCAACGGGTCCGGATTGCGAGGGCGGGTCTCGGATGACACACCCCGGAACTGGGCTGCTTCCTCTCTGGTTCAGCTTGCATCACCCGAGAACCACACCTGCCAAGTCACGCAGCTCAGCAGCTCCTGCGTTGAGAGTCTGCCCCCTGGTGGTCAGTGCGCATTATAGCTACTGGCCAGTCCACCAGTTGCTTAGGCTTTTATATATAGAGATGGCCATGCCCACTGTGCCCACAGAGTCTGTGGTTGCCTTTGGATTCCTAAGGCAGAGTCAGTTGTTATGATCTGCAAAGCCAAACACATTTACTATCTGGCTTTTTATTGAAAGAGTATGCAGCCTCCTGGGCTAAAACAATGGTGTGGAGGGCCATGGGCCACCATAGGACTAATACAGAGGGTGAGATACGGGGAAGGAAGGACTTACATGAGGCTGAAGAGACCTTCCATATCTGGTGGGGATGCTAAGAACACAGGCGGCAGAGCACGGGTGGGAAGGGTGCATGACTCCCCTCATCCTGATGCCAGGAGACCCCAGGTGCCTCAGAACCTGGGGCCAGGTCCCACTGTGCAGGAAACCGTGTGTGACCCCAGCCCCGTGGCCTGAGCCTGTTGTCCTCAGCAGAGATCACAGACGAGGGGGCTGACATGGGATGCCCTGAAGACCACTGGTGATTCAAAACTCCCCTTCCCCTCAGGCCAGGGCCACGCCCCTTACGAAGAGCTATGGGCGTTCCTGTTCCCCTCCTCCCAACTCTCTCACGTTTTCTAACTCACAGGGATGATATTTTATCTAAGTTTTGAGCTGCATGTGAGCCTTTCATGTTCAAATTAGCATAAAATGTGATGTAGTGCCCTAGCTGGTTTGGCTCAGTGGACAGAGTGACGGCCTACAGACTGAAGGGTCCCGGGTTCCATTCCAGTCAAGGGCACATGCCCAGGTTGCAGGCTCAATCCCCAGTAGGGGGCATGCAGGAGGCAGCCAATCAATGATTCTCTCTCATCATTGATGTTTCTCTCTCTCACTTTCCCTTCCTCTCTGAAATCAATAAAAACATATATTTAAAAAAAATGTGATGTAGTGGTGACTGTGACTTTTCAGTCACATATTCGCATTTTTTGAGCAAATGGCACCAAATGTATAATTGGCCCTGGATGGAGTGCTCCCCCTGTGGGCACAGTTTTGACATCCCGAGTCCAAATCAGCTGGTTCTGCTTCTGTGTTACGACTTTACCTCGACAGGGACCCATGGGGTAAGAGGTAGCCTGCCTCCCATTTTACAGATGAAGAAACTGAGAGCCTGGGGAGCATTTGGGATTTTGCTTCCTGGCAATGTCATCAGTTTGGCTCAAATAAACTCTCTTTTTTTGTTAATCCTCACCCGGGGATATTTTTCCATTGATTTTAGAGAGAGTGGAAGAGAGAGGGAAAGACAGAGAGAAACAGCAGTGTGAGAGAAACACATTGATTGGTTGCCTCCTGCACTTGCCCTGACCAGGGCCCCGGCCAGGGAGGAGCCTGCAACCAAGGTACTCGCCCTTGACTGGAATCAAACCCAGGACCCTTTGGTCTACAGGCTGATGCTCTATCCACTGAGCCAAACTGGCTAGGGCTCTCTTTCTTTTTTAAATCCTCACCCAAGAAGTGAGGATATTTTTGATTTTAGAGAGTGGAAGGGAGGGGGGAGGAGGAGGGGAGGTGTGGGGAGAAAAACATTGATGTGCCACAGACACATCGATTGGTTGCTTCCCGTATGTGCCCCAACTAGGGGTGGGGATCGGAACTGCAACCCAGGTACATGCCCTTGACTGGAATCTAACCCACAACCCTCCTGTATGCAGGCCGACGCTCTAACCACTGAGCATACTGGCCAAGGCTCAAAAGAAACTGAAAGCCAGAGAGGTGACTGGCCCAAGCCTGCTGCAGCAGAGCTGAGATCTGGACCTGATCCAATGTGAGTTGGCTCCCTCCAAGCTCAGACTATCTGGGTTCTGGGTACAAGACAAGCCAGCCTCTCACACTGCCCCCTGCCCCCTGAGGTGCCTCTGCCTGGAAGGATACTGAAGTTGGAGCAGGAGGCCGTCTCTAGGTCGTAGAGGCAGCTGCAGAGCTCACGGGGGTCGGAGGTCAGTCCAGACAGCTGTGGGGAAACACAGGCCTCAGCAAAGTGCTCTCTGCCCCCAGGGGGTCCCAGAGCACCCAGCCTCATCCCTACCCCCAGGGGACCCCAGGGTGCCCCAGCCTCACCCAGGCGGTGTCATCGTTCACCACCACCAGTGCAAACTCATGGCTTTTGTCAATCTTGTGTTTTGTCCGCACAAACATCTCAATCATCTTCTGGGAGACATTGAGAGCATTGGTTTTGGAGCTGGAGAGGGACAGAGAATGAGGGGGTGGTTAAGGAGAGTCAGGCCTGGGGGCGAGGCTTATCCCCTCACCTGTCCATCCTGGGGAACCTTCCACCAGCGCTACAATGAGGCCCTGGCCCACGTCACACAGTGTGTGTGTGTGTTGGGGGCGGGGCGGGGGGGGGACATGCTTGTCTTCAGTATCTCCCAGAGCGTCTCAGACCCTCTCCAGGTTCTGTTGCTCAACCCCACAGAGCCCTGCCTGCTCAGGGCAAGGGCTTTGGGGTCAGCTAAGCATGAGTCTGAATTCTTGCTCCACCTACTTGCTATGGTCTTAGGCAAGTTACTCTGCTTCTCTGAGTTTCCAAGTCATTGCTATGACACTGATTTTAGAGAGTGGAAGGGAGGGGGGTGGAGGGGAGAGAGAGGAGGGAGAAAAACATTGATGTGCCACAGACACATTGACTGGTGGCTTGATACCTCTCACATGCTTGGAACAGAGCCTGAGGGGCCACCGCTGTACCATTACCAGTTACTGTCGCTATGCTCTGATACCGCCAGGCCCCGAGCCAGACCACAGTGGTGTGAGTCTGAGAGAGAGCCCTGTGCTTTTCAGGCTGGGCCCCTCCAAGTTGTAGCTACACATTCAAGCCCTCAAATGTCCCTCTCACCCGTTGAACGACTCCAATTTTGGCAGTGACATTTCCTCCGACAGGTCCAGGCAGATGATCTGCAATGAAGTTGGAGGGTGGTGAAGGCACTGTGACTGGCAGTCCCTCGTGCCTGGATGTTAACACCGGCCCCCACATGCTTGGCCCTCTTTAAGCAGACCCATCTGAAAGGTGGTAAGAGGACCCCCAGTTCTCAGTCAAGCTATCCACTTTGGAAGTTGGTGGCTCAGGGGAAAGAGCGCTGGACTAGAAGTCCAGGTTAATAAGTGAGTAAGCAAACAAGAGAATACATGACACAGAAACAAGGAAATAAGGGTATAGTGGGTTGAACTGTGGCCCCCAGAAGATATGTTTGCCTAGAACCTCAGATGTGACTTTACTTAGAATTAGAGACCTTGATGATGTAATTAAAATAAAGAAATTGAAAGAAGATCATCTGATCCGGTGACAAGTACTCTTATGACAGACAGGACAGGAGACACAAAGACAGAGAGGGGAGGGCCATGTGAAAACAGACAGAGATGGGAGTGATCAGCCGCAGCCAAGGATGCCTGGAGCCCCCCAAAGCTGAACGAGTAAGGAGAGCCTCCCCGAGAGCCTCCGGAGAAAATGGGGTCCCTGCCAACATCTTGATTTCAGACTTCTGGTTTCCAGGACTGTCAGAGAAGCCCCCCAGCTCACTGTAATTTGTTGCGGCAGCCCCAGGAAACTAATACAAAAGGGCTGTTTGCAGAGTGAATCCCAAAAAGGCGAGAATGTCAACCCAAGGTTCCCCAAAGCCTCAGAGCTTACGGCCAAATTCTCACTTACCACCTTCTCTGGACAGTTGACCCTTGGTGTCCGCACCTGGACCTCAGGGGCTGGTGGGGGCACCTGCCAGGGCTTGGGGCCAGCTCCCAGAGCGTTCGGGGTCCCATCATCCGCACTGGCCGCCTCACCCTCACCCTCACTTCGGCTTCCCACACTGGTCTGGGCCCCCAGTGCCCGGTCCTCAGCCCCCCTCAGGGTTGGAGCGTGTACGGGGCCTTGGCTCCACTGACTGCTCTTCCTCCTCCTCCTCCTCTTCTTCCTCGGTGGGGCTGCTGGGCTCTGCCACCTCCATGGCTCCTGAGTGGCTGGATGAAGCAGGGATGGGGGAAGCCAGAATTCTGCCCTTAGGAATTTCAGAAACATTTGGTTACCCAGAAGGATAGGGCACTTGCTGGTACCGACTATGAGTCACTTCTCTCAGGGCCTCAGTTTCCTCATCTGTAGAATGGGTGCCTTTACACTTATCAGCCAAGCATCCACTCTAACTTAAGGTAACAGCCTCCATGCACACTTCTGTAGTGAAAACAACTACAAAGCCAGTGAACACAACTGGCTACTGTGAATGGCTCAGGAATGGGGACATGACCCAATACAGGCCAGCGAGGGGCAGCTCTGAGACTTACAACACTGCCATTAGGGGAGGGGTTCCTTCGAGTTGCAGAGCTTGGGAGCTACAAGGAGAGAGTTGCTAGGAGCCTCGTTAGCCTCCGAGAAAGGAAAGAGCCGACGGGAGTGATGCTCACCCAGAGAACAGCGGGCGGAGTTCTGAGCACCTGGAACCAGTCTATACGCCACTAATTCCCCTTTCTTGCTTCAGATAGATTGAGTTGGGTTTTCTGTAACCTGGAACTGAAAATGTCTTGGTAAACAAAGGAATCATAACCTCTAGGATTCTCCCCCGTGGACGCTGGGCTGCCTAGGGGGTGTCTGTACATGGGGGTGTCGGCACAAGCGAGGGGCGGGGATCTGGGTGCCACAGGTCCCTTTGAGGAAAGACAGGACGCCAACGGGACAGCCTGCCTGTCTGGGCAATGGGTGCGGGCTGCCCGGGATGGTCTCTGAGCGCCCCGCAGCCCCACAACCTCCAAGGAACTAGCTGTAGAAGAGGGGTGGAGGCTAGGCTGCGGGAGAAACCAGACCTGGGAACGGAAGCTTCCAAGGAGGCAGGGGGCTAGGTCCCGAGGGCTACGGGAGCTAGGCCTCGAGGGACGAGCCCCACACGCTTTCAACACCCGCTTCTGCTCACCGTAGCCTCAGCCTCCCTCCGACTGGGCTGCCGACTCGCTAGGAAGCCGCCATCTTCGCAGCCGGACTTGGTGCGGCGCGGCCGCGACGCCTCCTGGGAAATGTAGTCCAGCGGGCCGCGGAGCGCGTGGAACGGTGACCTGACCCAGGCTGAAGAGTCTCGGAAGCTGATAGGTTGGTGCTTCGCTAGGGGTGAGGTTTGGTAGGTGGCGAAGGGATACGTAGGGCGGGATCTTGAATCTGATTGGCTAGAAGCTAAATGAGGCGGAGTTTTTATTTCGGCGGAATCAGACTACGCTGGTCCGCGGTTCTAGGCATAGGCTGCGATGAACCGAGGACAGTGGGCTTTCGTGGACCAGGCTCAGCGGGATGGAGAGGGCCTAGCTGCAGTGTAAAAGGCTGCGTGGGACAAGATTGGGCGGAATTTATTTATTTATTTGGGGGGAGGCGGGATTTAGAAGAGGCGCGGCTGATTTGTGGGCGAGGGGCGGGGTTTTGCGGCCTGATGTGGGCGTGGCCAGGCCCAAGGCCCCTCCCAATTAATTCTTCTTGTTTTATATATATTTGCAAAAATAAAAAATACTGCCCTAGCCCTGACTGGTTTGGCTCAGTTGATAGAGCGTCGGCTGCGGACTGAAGGGTCCCGGGTTCGATTCCAGTCAGGGGCATGTACCTTGGTTGCGGGCCCAGCCCCCGTCGGAGGTGTGTAGGAGGCAGCTGATGGATGTTTCTAACTCTCTATCCCTCTCCCTTCCTCTCTGTAAGAAATCAATAAAATATATTAAAAAAAAAAAATACTGCCCTAACCGGGTTGGCTCAGTGGATGGAGCATCAGCCTGCGGACTCAGGGGTCCCAGGTTTGATTCTGGTCAAGGACATGTACCTTGGTTGCAGGCACATCCCCAGTAGGAGGTGTGCAGGAGGCAGCTGATTGATGTTTCTCATCAATGTTTCTAACTATCCCTCTTCCTTCCTCTCTGTAAAAAAATCAATAGAATATATATATTCTATTGATTTTTTTACAGAGAGGTAGGAAGAGGGATAGAGAGTTAGAAACATCGATGAGAGAGAAACATCGATCAGCCGCCTCCCGCACACTCCCCACTGGGTATATGCCCGCAACCAAGGTACATGCCCTTGACCAGAATCGAACCTGGGACCCCTGAGTCCGCAGGCCGACGCTCTATCCATTGAGCCAAACCGGTTAGGGCTAGAATATATTTTTTAAAAAAAGAAAAAGATACTAAGACGGAAGGCTGACTTGTGGTGAACACACAATACAATATAGAGATGATGTGTTATAGAATTGTACACCTGAAACCTATATAATTTTATTAACCAACGTGATTCCAGTAAGTTCAATTTTAAAAAAATTAAAAAATAAGCCGGAACTATTTCAAACCACCCTTCCTTTTTCAGGCACACTTCTTCCCTTAGCCCCAAAACTATTTAAAATCTACTCTGACTGTTCTGCAAAGGGTTTGCCACCAGAACACAGGTGTCAGGAAAGCCACTGCTAAATGTAAGCCAACATGGGAAAGGAAAAGACTCATATCAACATCATCATCATTGGACACGCAGATTCTGGCAAGTCTACCACTACTGGCCATCTGATCTACAAATGTGGTGGGATGGGCAAAAGAAATATCAAACATGTGAGGAAGCTACTGAGATGGGAAAGGGCTCCTTCAAGTATGCCTGGGTCTTGGATAAATAAACTAAAAGCTGAACCTGAGTGTGGTATCACCATTGATACCTCCCTGTGAAAATTGAGACCAGTAAGTACAGTGGGGCCTTGACTTACGAGTGTCCCGACTAACGAGTTTTTCGAGATACCAGCCGTCTCTCGGCAGATTTTTTGCTTTGAGTTGCGAGCTAAAATTCGGGTTACGAGCCAGCTTCAGATACCCCACCACTAGTTGGCACAGCGAACGTCACAGTGAACGCCACAACATCAGCCCAGCATCACGTGTCTCACTCTTTCACTGTTGATTTGACATACGAGTAATTTGAGTTACGAGCTCTGTCACGGAACGAATTAAACTCGTAAGTCAAGGCCCCACTGTATTATGTGACCATCATTGATGCCCCAGGACACGGAGACTTTATAAAAAACATGATTACATTCCCTAGCCGGTTTGGCTCAGTGGATAGAGCATCAGCCTGTGGATTGAAAGGTCCCGGGTTTGATTCTGCTCAAGGGCCCATGCCCGGGTTGTTGCTCGATCCCCAGTAGGGGGCATGCAGGAGGCATCATTGACATTTCTTTCCCTCTCCCTTCCTCTTGAAATAAATAAAAATATATATTTAAAAAAACATGATTACAGGCACATCTCAGGCTGACTATGATATTCTGATTATTGCTGCTGGTGTTAGTGAATTTTAAGCTGATAACTCCACGAATGGGCAAACCTGTGAGCATGCCCTTCTGGCTTACACATTGGATGTGAAACAAGTAATTGTTGATGTTAACAAAATGGATTCCACTGAGCCATCCTACAGCCAGAAGAGATACAAGGAAATAGCAAATGAAGTGAGCACCTACATTAAGAAAATTAGCTACAACCCTGATACTGTAGCTGTGGTGCCAATTTCTGGTTGGAATGGTGGCAACATGCTGGAGCCAGGTACTGACATGCCTTGGTTCAAGGGCTGGAAAGTCACCGGTAAAGATGGCAACACCAGGGGAATCGTGCTTGAAGCTGCATTGCATCTTGCCACCAACTCATCTAACTGACAAGCCCTTGTGCCTGCCCCTCCACGATGGCTCCAAAATCCGTAATGTCGGTGCTGTCCCTGTGGGCTGAGTAGACACTAGCATTTTCCAGTCTGGCCTGGTGGTCACCTTTGCTCCAGTCAGTGTTACAACTGAAGTAAATTAAGTGTTGAAATGAGCCATGAAGTATTGAGTGAAACTCTTCCTGAGGACAACGTGGACTTCATTGTCAAGAATGTATCTGTGCCTTAGCCGGCTTGGCTCAGTGGATAGAGCGTCGGCCTGCAAAAGGGCACATGCCTGGGTTGAGGGCTCGATCCCCAGTAGGGGGCGTGCAGGAGGCAGCTGATCAATAATTCTCTCTCATCATTGATATTTCTATCTCTCTCTCTCTCCCTCTCCCTTCCTCTCTGAAATCAATAAAGAAATATATTTAAAACATAAAAGAGAAACTAACTGTATTAAAGGTTACCAAAATTTTTTAAAAAAAGAAAGAGTGAGGATGTCAATTTCCCTGGGTACCCAAGTCAGAGAAGTACAATTTCTCTCTCTCCATAAGCAGGAAGATCCAACCTCCTAGCATCTGTCAGTGGGACTGGGAGGATTCAGGCTACTCCAGTCTCCGCACATTTAATCCAACTGCAGAAGGAAGGACAGGGTGTTTCAGGCCCTGGTTACGGCATGACCAAAGGCCTGGGGGTGTGAGAGAGCGGAGAACCTTCCGCTGTTCGTGGAGGGGGCCATCATGGATATAGCGTGGAGCCTACATGGGTGCAAGCAGCATGTACAATTTTTTAAAATATTTTATTGATTTTTTACAGAGAGGAAGGGAGAGGGATAGAGAGCCAGAAACATCGATGAGAGAGAAACATCGATCAGCTGCCTCCTGCACACTCCCCACTGGGGATGTGCCCGCAACCAAGGCACATGCCCTCGACCAGAATCGAACCCGGGACCCTTGAGTCCGCAGGCCAATGCTCTATCCACTGAGCCAAACCGGTCAGGGCGCACGTAGAATTTTGAAGGGCTTTGAATGCCAGGTTGAAGAGCTTGAAATGTTTCCCAAGGGCATTGAGTGTGAGCAAGGGAAGCGAATAATCAGATCTCTGTCTCTGGGGCCTGGGTGGGGAAGGGAGTGGACAGGGGTTGGGGGCTGGGCTGGCCTCAAGGTGGGACAAGAGAGGTGTGGGCTGTAATTATGGGTGAAGACAAGAAAGCCCGTTAGAGGTGGATGCAGGTAAAGTGGGTAGGGTGTAAAAACCATGTAGCTCTGAGGAATTCAGCATTTTGTAGGAGAAACAGCAGCTGGCAGAGGAAGCAGACATGGACTGGTGATAGAGCACAAGGAGTGCATGTTGCGCCCGGCCGGTGCGGCTCAGTGGTTGAGCATCGACCTATGAACTAGGAGGCCAGGGTTCCATTCCCAGGCAGGGCACATGCCCGGGTTGCAGGCTCGAACCCCAGTAGGGAGCGCGAAGGAGGCAGCTCATCATTGATGCTTCTCTCTCTCTCTCCCTCTCCCTTCCTCTGTGAAATTAAAAAAAAAAAAAGAGTGCGTGTTGTCATTCATTTCCCTGATGGTGCCTGGCCACATGCAAATTGCTTGTTAAAACGCCATGACACAAGAAGAGAGAGAGCAAGATTTTGAAAACTTATTTGAAGAAATAATGACAGAAAACTTCCCCTGCCTGGTGAAAGAAATAGACTTACAAGTCCAGGAAGCACAGAGAACCCCAAACAAAAGGAATCCAAAGAGGACCACACCAAGACACATCATAATTAAAATGCCAAGAACAAAAGACAAAGAGAGAATCTTAAAAGCAGCAAGAGAAAAACAGTCAGTTACCTACAAGGGAGTACCCATACGACTGTCAGCTGATTTCTCAACAGAAACCATGCAGGCCAGAAGGGAGTGGCAAGAAATAGTCAAAGTGATGAATACCAAGATCCTACAACCAAGATTACTTTATCCAGCAAAGCTATCATTCAGAATTGAAGGTCAGATAAAGAGCTTCACAGATAAGAAAAAGCTAAAGGAGTTCACCACCAACAAATCAGTATTATATGAAATGCTGAAAGGTATCCTTTAAGAAGAGGAAGAATAAGAAAAATATATTAATTGAGCACTTGTCAAGTGCTGGGCAAATGAAACAGGCAAGACTGATCGGATACCTCCTGTACCCATCCTGCAATCTAGGTGTGTGTTTTGACTGGGAATGGAACCCACAACCCTTTGCTGCACAGGATGATGCTCCAACCAACTGAGCTACCTGGCCAGAGCCAGCTCCTAGTCTTTGTAAGGTCTGGCTATTTAGTGTTTTCTTGATTCTGGCAGGATTTTCATTGCTTCCAATAAACTTCTTTTTTTTTCTCCTTAAAAACAAACAAACAAAAAACTCCATGACACTGTAGGTAGATGCTATATTTATTCCCCATTTTACACAAGGGAATTGAGGCTTGGAGGTAGAAGAGCCGTGGCCTTGGAGGCTGAGGTGAGGAGGGACAGACATCTCAGGAGCTGGACACATGTCCCCTGCTGGGACTGGAGGAAGGCATTGTCCTCGAAAAGGAAACTGAACAATAACAAGTCATGTGACCAGGGGAGGGGGCTTCCTGTTTCCTGGCCCCTCCCAGGCCAGCCTGGGCAGCCCTGGCCTGAGCGGGCAGTGGCCAGTGACCCCAAGAGTGTCCAGGGACTCAGGCCTCTGACAAGGTGCTCCCGGAGGAACAGAGAAGTGGAGTGGGCTGAGGGGACCCAACCCCAGGATCAGGTCCTCTGGTTAGGGAGGGCCCTGGGGAGGAGAGAGGACTCTTTTTTTTTTTAAAGAGAGGACTCTTGAAGTCCTCATCCTAGGCCCAGATAGAGGAGGGAGGGGAGCACCAAGGCAGTGAAAAATAAAGGAGGCAGAAGAGAAGGGGGAGGTCAGGGCAGCCTTGGTAGGTAGTGAGCTGTCTGTCAACAGAGGCGTTGAAACGTGCCACATCAGCATTGATTACTCAGGACTCCTTCTGGAGGGGAGAAATCAATGCCCATTTCACAGGAGAGGAAATTGAGGCTATTTGCCAGGACAACAAAGGCAAGAGCTGAGATCAGGCTGTGGTTTTAGGGGGGGACAAGGGAGGGGTTTCAGAAGACACTGATCTGTGGACAGCAATGAGCGCCCGGGCCACACGGCCCCGAAGCCGGCGAGGGAGACATGCTCCACCTGTAAGTGCCCCTGCTCCCTGCCACAGCCAGCTCAGCGGGCCCCCTGGCTGGGAGCTCAGAGCCCTGATGGTCCTTTGCAGGTTGAGCTGGACCCTGTGGCTGAGAGTTCAGAGGAGGCCGAGGCAGCCAGCGGAAGCTCTGAGCTGGGCCCTGTGCCATCTCAGGAAAGCTGCAAACCTGAGCTGCTGGGCCCTGAGGCAGAGGAGAGGGGGCAAGGCCCGAGGAGCAGGTAAGGCCTGCTTGGTCCGCGTCTCCCACTCCAGCTCTTTCCTACCCAGAGCTCTGCTTGTGTCCCCTACCACCACCCCTGCTCACACGCACACCATGGCTTCCCATTGCCTGCCGCAGCCTGATTTTTAAGGCCCTGCATAATGCACTGCCAGTGTTAACACACAACCCCTGTGTGCCAGACGCCCCAGATATCCCCATTTCCAGAAACTTCCATCGCTCACTTCACAGAACTGACAAAGAGGCTGATGGGGACTCTAGCAGGGGGCTGGCCCCAGCCCTCGATGGGCCCCAGGAGCCTGCAGAAGAAGCCCACCATGCCCCAGAGGCTGAGGAGGCTGTCCTCGCTGCACCTGGGGCCCCCGACGTGTTTCAGACTCTCCAGCATGCTCTGAGCTCACTGGAGGCTGCAGCTGCCGCCTGGCGCTGCCAGCCCCTCAGCTGTCCTGGGCCAGTGGAGATGGAGGGCAGAATCCAGGGGGAACCAAGGCCCTGCCTGGAGCTGGAGGGGGCAGGGGGCTGCCAGCGGGAGGTGGCCCACCTGGCAGAAAGGAACGCCTGGCTACGTTTGGCCCTGGGCAGCCGTGAGGACGAGCTAATCCACATGCAGGCCTCCCTGGAGGCCCTCCAGGGAGAGAAGGAGACGCTGCAGAGAGAGGTGAGTGGGCATCCCTGCCTCCCAGGGCTCAGTGTCTGAGGAAGGAGGCAGCCTGGCATAGGAGATGCTCAATCACTGGTTCATCGGAAAAACTTATGCAGCATTGACTGCTGAGCCCCCAAAGACACAGGTCCCTTGCAATCTTTTTTTTAATTTTAGTTAATATATGTATATATATATTTTTTATTGATTTCAGAGAGGAAGGGAGAGGAAGAGAGAGATAGAAACATCAGTGATGAGAGAGAATCATTGATTGGCTGCCTTCCTGGACACCCCCTACTGGGGATCAAGTCCGCAACCCAGGCATGTGCCCTTGACCAGAATCGAACCTGGGACCCTTCAGTCTGCAGGCCGACGCTCTATCCACTGAGCCAAACCAGCTAGGGCAGGTCCCTTGCAATCTTAATTAAGGCAATTACTTAGAATAGGAGTGTGGAATCTTTTTTCTGCCAAGGGCCATTTGGATATTTATGACATCATTCACAGGCCATACAAAATTATCAACTTAAAAATTAACCTGCTATTTGGTCAAACATTTAATTAACTCACCCCTAATGCCTTGGCAGGGCCAGACCAAATGAAGTTCCCCACCCCTGATGTAGGAGGTGACACTTGAATAAGGACCACACACGTGGGGTTGAGGGAGGAGCCATGCAAAGATCTGGTCAGTGGTCATGCCAGGCAGAGGGAATGGCATATGCAAAGGCCCTGAAGTGGGAGTGCGAGTGGCAAGTTTGAGGAACAGTGAGAAGGCCAGTGTGGAGGTTGTGGGAGGAGATGAGAGCAGGGAGGTGACAGGCGGCTCCTGCAGAGCCCTGTGGGCTGCAGGAAGGATTTGAGCTTTTGCTCTGAGTGAAGTGGGAGCCAGGGAGGGTTCTGAGCAGGGGAGGGTGACCACCTGACGCAGGTGTTCACAAGTCACCCCTTGGCTGTAATGAGAGGAACAGCATGTGGGGAGCAAGGGTGAAATCCTGGAGATTCAGGAGGAGGCACTAGTCCAGACACCAGATGGTGGACGTTGTGGAGGTGGCGGGAAGTGAGCAAATTATGGGAGATGTTGAAGGTGGAGCTGGCAGGTTTGGGCGTGAAGGCCAGAGGCCTCCTCAGCGTGTGGATTAAAGCCATGTGGGTGACAGCAGTTTAGGGGAGCAGGCGTCATCTACAGCTGGCAAGACTGGGACTTAGGGAACCCAGAGCAAAGGGTGGGGCCCATTCCCCTACAGCATGGGGCCCATTCCCCAACTGGAAAAGAGAAGTTTGTTTGTTTTTATTTATTTTATTTATTAAAATTTTTATTTATTGATGTGAGAGAGAAGGAGAAACACCTATTAGTTGTTCCACTTATTTATGCACTAGAGGCCTGATGCACGAAATTCGTGCAAGGGGCTCGGCCCTCGCAGCCCCGGCTTTGTCCAGAAGGTTGTCCAGAAGGTCGTTTGGCTGTCTAGTCTAATTAGCATATTACGCTTTTATTATTATAAATTAATTGATTGATTCTTGTATGTGTCCTGACTGGGGATCAAACCCTCAACCTTGGCATATCAGGAGGACACTAACCAACTAAGCTACTTGGCCAGGGCCTATCTGTTCATTTTTTTAAATAAGCATTCTTTTAATATATATAATTGATTTCAGAGAGGAAGGGAGAGTGGGGGAAAGGTAGAAACATCAATGATGAGAATCATTGATTGGCTGCCTCCTGCATGCCCCACACTGGGGATTGAGCCCACAACCCGGGCATGTGCCCTGACTGGGAATCGAACTGTGACCTTCTGGTTCCTAGGTGGATGCTCAACCACTGAGCCACGCTGGCCAGACTAAAATTTATTTTTAAAATTTATTTTTATTGATTTTAGAGAGAGGAAGAGATGGAGAGAGACAGAAACATTGATAAGAATCATTGATCAGCTGCCTCCTGCATGCCCCACACTGGGGATTGAGCCCGCAACCCAGGCATGTGCCCTGACCCAGACTTCCTGGTTCATGGGTCGATGCTCAACCTCTGAGTCACACTGGCTGGGCAATTCTTAATTTTTTTTGAGGAACCTCCATACTGCTTATAATCCCAATAGTGCACCAGGGTTCCCTTTTCTCCACATCCTCACCAACACTTATTTCTTATCTTTGTAAAAATATTTCTATTGATTTCATAGAGGAAGGGAGAGGAAGAGAGAGATAGAAACATCAATGTGAGAATCACCAAACAGCCACCTCCCACAAACCCTCGCACTGGGGATTGAGCCCATAACCCAGGCATGTGCCCCCGACCAGAATCGAACCCGGGACCCCTCAGTCCACAGGCCAACGCTCCATCCACTGAGCCAAACCAGCCAGGGCATTATTTCTTATCTTTTAAAAAAATGTTTTTATTGATTTGAGAGAGAGAGGAAAGGATAGAGGGAGAGAGAGAGAGAGAGAGAGAGAGAGAGAGAGAGAGAGAGAGAGACATTGGTTGGCTGCTTCCAGCACACATTCCGACCAGGGATCAAACCTGCAACCTGGATATGTGCTCTGACTGGAAATCAAACCAGCAACCTTTGGTGCACGGGACAACGCTTAACCAACTACTGGCCAGGGCTATTTTTAATTTTTAAAAGTTTTTATTGATTTTAGAGAGGGGGGGAGAAATATATATAGAGAAACATCTATTTATTGTTACACTTAGTTACACATTCATTGGTTGATTCTTGTATGTGCCCTGACTGGGGATCAAACCTTCAACATTGGTGGATTGGGACAACACTTTAATCAATTGAGCTACCTGGCCAGGGCTGGCTCTTGTTTTTTTTTTTTTGTAAAATTATTGATTTTTAGAGAAAGAGAGGAAGGAAGAGGGAGAGAGAGAAACATTGATGTGAGAGCTGAACATCGATCGACTGCCTCCTACATGCCCCCAACCAGGAATCCAGATCAGCATCCCACACCGGCCAGGTCATTTCTTGTCTTTTTTATAATAGACATCCTAACAGGTGTGAGGTCATTCTCATTGTAGTTTTGAGAGCATTTCCCGGATGATTAGTGATGTTGAGCACCTTTCCATGTACCTGTTGGCTATCTGTACATCTAAAGAAAGAGAAGTCTTGGGTGGCTAAGTCGCCCAAGGTTATATAGTGAGGAATCTGGTGCAGTGAGTATCTGGGGCTCTTGCCACTGCCCCAAGAACAGGTGGGCATTTGGGGCCCCCAGGCCTGACATTTCCCATAACCCTGCCAGGTCCAGGAGCTGCAGGATTCCCTGCTGAGGCTGGAGCCCTTGCCACCTCCCTCTCAAAGCCAAGTGGATGGCTTGGGCAGCAGTTCCAGCAGCTCTGGGACTGTCAGGGAACCCTGGACCACTCCGGTGAGTGTAGGAAGCTCAAAACCACTTATTTGAGATCCTTAGGGTTTGGGGCAGTGAGACCCAAACCTGGCCATGTGATCCATCAGCTTCTGGGGTTGGAAAAGCTTAAACCCATAGTACTAGGCTCTTGATGCCAATCTGAGTGATTCAAGTCCCCTCTTGCTGGCAGGATCCCTTCTCCCTGTCTCACCCCCTGCTCCGGCGCCTCCAGAGTGATTCCAGTGCCCAGATCCTTGGGCCTCTCCCCAACCGGCCCCTTGCCCCTGAGATGCACATTGTGGAAGCTCAGATGGAGCAGCTCCGGGGGTAAGAGACACAAATGTTGAGCTCTTAAGGGCACCTGCACCTGCTTTGCTAGGATATAAACCCGAGTCTGGAGCTGAAATGGGGGTGAGGGTTGGGGAGGAGAATGGAAATCGATAAGGTCCTGACTGCCCTGTGAGGCCTCTCATTTTTTCTCTTCCCCATCTTTGGAGGTAGAAACATCGAGAAGCTCAAATGCTTTAACCGTCTGCTGTCTGCTGTGCTCCAGGGATACAAGGGCCAGTGTGAGGGCCTCAGCATGCAGCTAGGCCAGTGGGAGGCTGAGGCCACAGCACTACGTCTGGCCTTGCAATATAGGTCAGTGCATCCTGCCCATGATGTCAATGGCTGGGAAGAGAATGGGTACATTTAGAGGATGGCCCTGATCCACAAAGAGAGGCAGGACCCCTTCAAGAAAGCACTTTCTCTCACCATGAAAATTAATTGAAGGCAATTTTAGTCCAAGGATGCTGAAGAGGTTCGCATGCCCTCTGGGGGTGGGAGTCAGGGAGATATGAGAGAACCAGGAGCAAGTGAAAACACCCCTTACACGGAAAGATGGGGCTGAGTGTCCCAGAGCACTCAGAACTAATGTCCCACAGTGAGCACTGTGAGGAAGTGTACAGAGTCCTGCTCACGCTCCGGGAGGCAGACTCAGGAGCAGAAGTCCCCAGGAGTGATGTGGAGGCAGCTGAGAAGGAGGCTCAGAGGCTGCTAGCTCAAGAGGAGGCTGTCATGGATGGAGAAACACTGTGGGATCCCCAGCCAAGGTACTCCTGGGAACCCCTGGAACTGGGCAAGCTAGTAAATGGGATCCTGATTGGAGAATGGGGCTGGCTCCCAGAGCTGACCCTGTGGAGACCTGACTGGAATTGGCTGGTTGATACTCCACAAATTTGTCATGGTAGTTGACAGTCATGGAGGTTGATCTAGGACCCACCAGGATGGGCATGAACATCGATGCCCACTGATTATAACTGGCATGACCGTGCTTAGTCAGGTTGGCCTGCTGCCAAACAGGGCTGGCAAGCCGAGTGGTGATGTCTGTTGTGTTGGTGGGATGGTGTTCACCATGTTGGACTGAGCAGTGGTCCCCTTTGATGTGATAGTGTTCACCATGTTGTCTTGATGGATCACGGTACCCACTGGGGTTTACATTATAGTGCACATCATGTTAGTATGACAGTGCCCACCACAGATGGCATAGGATCCATCATGGACAGTGAGATGAAAGAGGATGGAGCCCACCAGCGTTGGCATGAAGTTAGTACAACCGTGCCTGCCAGTGTTGACAGAGGCCCCTCTTCTGTTTTCTATAGCCCTGAGGGCAGCAGTGTGGATAGGCCCACCCTACAGGAGGTGGCTCTCCAGCTCCGGGGCTATGTGCAGCGTCTCCAGGAGCGCCGTGCTCTGGTGAAGATTCTCCCAGAGCCTGGCCCCACCTTGGCACCCATGCCCACTCTGCCCCATGCAGAAGCCCTGGTGCAGGCCATTCTGGAGACTCAACCTGGCCCAGCCCTGCCCCGGCTGGAGAAGAGGCGGATCCAGCAGGACCTGGAGGCCACACGGGTACACACAGGCGGGGTCACTGTGTCAGTCTTTCCTGGTGGGACAAAACCCTTTGGTGAGGATGAGGAATGTGATTAGGTGACCAAGTCGCAAGGAAAAGCTCTGCTGGGCTAGAGGCGGGCTTCCTGGAGGGAGGAGAATCGGGGCTGGAGTTTTGAGGGATGAATAGGAGTTTGTCCTTTGGAATTCAGTTCCTCATAAGACTTTGAATACGGCTTTCCAAAATGCCCTTCCTATGGAAAATAAATGGGGCAGGAGACGCCACCTGAGCTCTCTAGCCTGGTGGGAAAGACCAAAGGTTCTGGACTTGGAGAAACTCCAGACCCTTCCACTGAGCTGTTACTTGACCTTGTCTACACTACTTGCCCTCTCCGAACTGCCATATCTACAGCTGTAGTTCTGGCGGGAGGATGATATGTCTCACCACACAAGGTCAAGGTGAGGGCTTGAGTTCTTGCTTGACCAGCCCTCAGTGGGTGCCTCCTGGGACCTCAGTTTCCCCAGACGTTGACCCTAGCGGCACAGATGCTTCACCCTCTCCTTGGTTTCTCAGGAGACCCTGGAGGACCTGATGCTGAGGCTACAGCTGGTGCGGCGGGAGAAGCGGGGTCTGGAGCTGCAGGAGGCAGCCCTCCGAGCCCAGGGCCCGGTCCACATGCTCCTGCTGGAGCAGCTGCAGTGGGAACGGGCGCAGCTTCAGACGCGCGGGGCCAACAGCAGCGGTGGTGGCAGCAGTGGCGGGAGCAGTGGCGATGAGGAGGCCTGGTCCCAGGTGAGCGGCTCTGCTGGACCCGGGAGGGAGAGCAGTACCCTGCTGGCTGGCTGTCTCTGGCCAAGCCTCGGCTTCCATTTCTGCACAAAGAAATGAGTTGAATGGGGAACTGCAGGTTGAAGTTCACACTTTGTACTTTGGGGTCTTTTTTGGGAGGGTATTGAGCCCAATCAGCCCCAGGGGCTTAGTGTCTTCCCTTCAAACCTGCACCTCCTCATTCCCCTCTCCCACGCCTATTCACACTTGCCCCTCTACCCAATAGCCCCAGCCCATGCTTCATCTCTTCCGAAATTTTGGTTCTGGCTCCCTCCAGGAATCCTTCCTTTCCCCCCCTTTTTGTCAGTCATGTCTGCCCTCTGCTTAAAGCCTTCAGTGGCTTATAGAACCCTCATCTGAATCATCTCTTCCACCTCTAAGCCTTTGTATCTGCTGTGCCCCTGCCAGGAACAGGGGTCACTTCTTTATCTAGTTAAGTCCTTGACCTCCTGGAGGTCTGAGTTTAAATATCACCTCCCTCAGGAAGCCCTTCTGAACTGCCTTCAGATGAGGTCACGTGTTATTTACTTCCCTTGTTAGGGAGTAATTTTACCCTTACTGGGGCATCTCATGAGACTGGGAGCGCTGTGAGGGCAAAGGACTATCGCTACCAGTCTGGACATCAACATCCAGCTTGAACTGAGCACACACTTGGCCCAGGCCAATGTCATGTCCCTCCCCTCTGCTTCCTTCAGGGCCCTGCTATCCCTGGAGGCAGCAGGGGCATTGATGGAGGCCAGGTGGGGCAGGTGCAGGACCCGGAGGAGCTAGCTCAGGAACTGTCAGCATCACTGGCCCGGTGTGTGCCTGGGTCCTGGGCTGGGGGATGGTTGGCCTGAGAGGGTGGTGGTGGTTCCTATGTGAGCGCCCGGGGGGCGGGGGGGGGGGGGTTGTGTACAGCAGCGGTATCCTGGGTGGGCACCTGTGTACAGGGGTGGCTCCCGGGGAAACAATGTGGGGCAGGGGGGTGGGGCAGAAAAGGAAAAAAGGATTGGCTATGGCTGTGAACCCTTTTCTCCTCACTCCCTGCACCAAGGCCCCTGGGCCTGGTGGGAGCAGCTGTAGGTTTCTTCCGGAGGAGCTTGGAAACAGTGGGCTAAGAAGGGGCGAGCCAGACGTGCTCAGAGTGCCAAGCTGAA